TAAAATAAAAATAATAATAAATAATATAAATAAAATACAATTTAACCCTAACCCTAACCATCATCTGCTGGTGCAGCTCACCTCTCTGGGAGTAAAGCTTAATCAATTTAGTGGGTTATTTAAACAGAGTTGGATTGTAAGGTAATTTTATCTTGCTCAAGAAAAAGCATAGTCCCCACCTCCCAGTTCTCCCACTGTTCTGGAAACAAGCTTCAAGTAAACAAGTAAACACCTTTCCATGCTGATAACTAAAAACCTGGCCAAATGCAACAGCAGATATTTCTCTGAAATATGAATATTTCAGAGAAAATATCTGCTGTTGCATTTGGCCAGGTTCTAAAGAATGGCATATTTTCATATCCAAAGCCAGCAATCTTAAAATTTAAACAATGTCTTCTCTTACTGTTGAAACAATTGAGTAAAGGCTAATTACAATACACTGTATCCCAAATATCAGAGAAAGTATTAACATGTCAAATACTGTGCCTGAATGGAAGTTTTATTCAGGAATCAAAGTAATCTGTGAAATGAACCCTCGGCAGAAAAACCTCTGATTTCCCAGGGTTGAGAGATGAGAAATGGACTGCCACACTTTCCTTACCAGGGCCAATCACAGCAAGGTGTTCTGTCAAGGCTGATGTTAGTCTCGAACCAGAATTTACAATCCAAAAGTGAGGATTTTATTTATCACTACTAGCTCTAATATCAGTACAGATTTGTATCATTATTAATACTGAGATAACATGTATATATGAGGGGAGGGAGCAGCTGAGCCAAGAGCATGCTCTCCAGCATGCATTCCTCAAATTGTATTCTCTCAAGGACCCAGGAATGTTATAAGAGATTGGGCCAGCAGATATCAGGTCACCAATGATTAAGTTCTACAGGCCCTTTTCATTCAACTTTACTTTAATAACCTTTCTGAAATCTGTTTTTTTTTTAACCTACCTAAAGTCATGAAAGTACTAAGCAGCTGTTCTGTGGCAACAGGTTTGATCTCTGTGCGAAGGTTCACAAACCTACCAACCACGAGTGGGGCCCTCCGGAAACCTAAGATTCTGTTTGAACAAGAAAGAATAAAATGAAACAAGATATGAATTCATACAACACAATGGAGAGTACAGGCTGGATCTTGCTATGAAATTTGTAGGAATCACCCAGTAAGTATCCTCAAAGATTTAAGGTTCCTGAGATGTTAAAGTAATTTTAAATATTACTTCTTAGTTACTAACATCTATGTTTTATTTTATTTTAAACTGCAACTAATAATTTTTATTCCTCTCTTTTGGAATCTATAAATTTACTGAATTAGAAATTGGAGTTGATGGTTTGTTTGTTTGGCTTATTTTTGCTTACTATTTTTGCCTATTCTGGACCGTGATCTTATTCATGTGCCAGACTTCTGGGTGCACTTGGCTCATAAAAAAGGAAAGTCCTGGAAAACGGATCTGCCTAGAGATGCAACGTTTGGGCTTGGAGTGTGTTTAGGCTGATGTTTATTAATTGATGTAAATCACAAAAGTGGTGGCAGCTCACCCGCTTCTGAAATATCTGACGAAGAGTCTTGCAGCAACATTGAAGGACCAATGGTTCTTCAACTGAAGCACCGGAGATTTTTACAAGGCTGATGAGAACAGAAACTGAACTTAGTTTAAATTTAAATTCATTGGTGAAGAATGTAACACCCAAACTGCTGATCTGTGCATGAAACTGGGAACTTGTACTGAAAGGCCTGCACAGATTGCCAGCTGTTGTGGAGCACAAGTTAAGAATTTAGCCACTGACTACTGAAGGGACTAGCTTGAAATGAACCTGTCCAAACACTGTCTGCCTAAGATACTCTCATTTTTTGAGAGGTTACTGAACTCAAAGGAGTGGGCCTTTCCCCATGGAATTTACTCTCTTGAAATTACATTTCACAGAGTTATTTCAACAGAGGAATCACAACTTTCCTTTTTAGTTAGGTCTTTTTAAAGTTTAAATTGGTTTATAATTTACGTTAATTGGTTTTATCAATGTTTATGTTTTATCTGTTATTGTTAGCATGTCATCCTTGCACAGGGGTCATGCTAATTTTCCCTGTATCATTCCAATTTTAGTCTATGTGCTGCTCATGCTGCCACATGAGCACATTTTATTGTTAGACACTTTAAATGCCCTTTGGATAGAAAGGCGAGGTATAAATTGAATGAACAAAATATATTTTAATTCAAAATTTTACCTGTCCAGATGGAAGGCTGCCACCTCTGCATTATGCCTGTCATAGCCAGCATATGGCTCTCCTTCTATTACATAGTCTCTGGGATATCTAAAAATTATGAAAAAATAAATGATTGAGTGACTAATGGATTTTGTTCCAGACTAAAGAAGAATCTCAACCAAACAATAGCTTTTCTTCACCCCAAGGTAATTAAGTAATGAGGAAAAAATGTAACTCTGAATAACTTTTCTAGCAATTAGTTGTACTGCCAATATGCAAGGAAATATCTCATTAAAACACTTCCAGTCCAGAGGAACAGACCCGTTTCTTACTTAGAAGCAATGGTCTGGGATCTGCTTTCTTGCTCCTGATTTTGACATATGGGACATACCAAATCAGGGGCCCGAGAAGGAAAAACAAAACTAATATAGTCATCTTAGCTTTCTGGTGAAACAGATGAGCAAGCATCTATCCATTGTTCAAATTTAGCCATTAAGCTGTTATCAACCATTAAGCTGATAACAAAAAGAGTACACATAATATTATCTATCACTGAAGAAGCATTTCACCTCTTAGGTTTGAAGACTACTTTCTGTCCACCTTCCAGTACGAGCAGTGCTTTCAACTGGGTGCCCTTATAGCCCACATCTGCTTTGATTATCTTCTTGGTAGCCATGGCATGCATCACTGCCCCCAGTTCTGGTGTTTCCTCTGGGTACACTTCACGTGGCACTACCCACTGGGCTGCAATCTCCCAAGGAGATTGCAGTGTGTGATCAAGTCGTGGGTCTAGTTCCACCCGTAGGCTTGTCATCATACGGTGAAAGGTACGCTGGTCTTCACGGTTGGCTGCTGATGTGTCCAGGTTGTCTATGAGGAAAACCTTTGTGAAAATAAAGATGACGAGGAGAATTGCCAGAAGCACCACACGTTGTTTCAACTTCATGATGATTAGTAGTCCTTTTCTGCTGACTTGATTTATCAAAGACTACAGGAAATCTCTTAAAAAACAAGATGATAAGCAGTGCAGTTCTTGATTAATTTCATTCATTATCTTCAATCCAAATGATCCACTGCTGCAACTACATCTTCTGCTACCCCTGTAATTAAAGACATGATTGAATTTTGTACCCTTAGCAAATTCAGTGGGTAACTCTTGAACAGAAGTTGCTGCTTTATAGTGTTACAATTTACTTAAAACAAATTCATTTCAATGAGGTTACCCATGACATAGCCTGGTTCCAAGATAGACATTTTTCAAATCAGCAGTTACTGAAAAGCAGCCCCCCCCGCAAAATTTTCAGAAAACTAGCGTTGCTAGTCACTAGATAGTTCTATCACTAAATATACAGAACTGGCTGACTTTGACCCAACTTTTACAAAAGAAATCATTTCTTTCCACCTTCCTCATCTCCTACAACTTCAACTGACTTTTGATATTTATTTTCAGGGTAGAACAATTAAAAATATACTTTCCATTTCCCTCCCAAATTAATACACTCATAGCCATAGCTGTGGAATCCTTTATTTTATTTTTTATTTAGATTTATGTCCCCCACCCCCACCCCAGCCTCTTTCCTTCAGGAGCTCAAGACAGCATATGTAGCATTCCTCCTCAATTTTTCCCTACAATATTGCTTGTGTGAGATAGGCATGAAAGAAAACAACTAACCCAAAATAACTCAGTAAACTTCCATGACTAAGGGTAGACTTGAACCTAGGTCTCCCCTGTGCCAGTCCAACAACTTAAACCAGTGCTTCCCAAACCTGGGTAAATTACCCAAAATTGGGTAAAAGTGGTTTTTCTTTAGGTAACAAAACACAAACCTATTCACAACAGGGACATTTAAACTGACTTAAAGATTGCCACGTGTCCTAAAATATATTTGAAAATCTCCTGAAGTATTCCTATTAAGATGAAAATCAATGAAATTACCAATGGTAATTTGTTGAATTGACATAAAGATCATTCAATTATACTGTTTTTATAATACAGGTAGTCCTTGAGTTATGACCATTCATTCAGTGACTGAAGTTACAACGGTGCTGAAAGAATGAACTTACGACCAGTCCTCGAAGTTCCAGCTGTTGCAACACTCCTGTGGTCATGTGAACAAAATTCAGGTGCTTGGCAACCAGCTTGCACTTAATGACCGGTTGCAATGTCCACACGATCATCATTTGAAACCTTCCCTGCTGGCTTCCCACAAGCATAGTCAATGGGGAAGCCAGCAGGGGAGGTTGCAAGTCACTTGGGTATGTCCTCCACAACCCCCCAGCCTTTCTTCGCTCACATGCACCGCACCCTCCTTCACTGTTCACTCACTCGCACCATGCCCTCCTTCCCCCCTTTGCTCACACGCACCACACTCTCCTTCCATCCCTGAGTTTTGGGTAATGAACGAAAAAGTTCGGGAAGCACTGCCTTAAACAGAATAGCACATAGGCTCTCCTTGTTGGTATTTCACAATGCCAAGGCCTAACTGAATTGGAGAGAATTCACATTTGAATGGAGGCTAGCTCAGCAAATCTTTTCTGGTGGTCATCATGGATATTCAACTTAATGAACCATGTGATGAATATTCAAGTCTAAATGAAGAACATACAGTTCATCTGAATGTACAGGTGCATGGAAAGTGCAACAGCATGCTATAGTGAACTAAATGATTCTGTATGCCAAAAAGCAGGAGACGATCAAAGTACGACTGATGGATAAAAGTACCAAAAGTTAAGGATATGAACTTCCATGATCGATAATTGTTCAGAAGCAGCAAAACCCCTTCAGAATTTGTCTTTTAAACAATAACATCCTACGACAAATTTGATGAAAATCAACTACTCAGAATCTCATTGAGAACAAAGATCCTGAAAGGAAGGAAAAGGGTCCTTCCCAAGACTTAATACAAAACCAACAGAACATTAAATTCTGTCTGCTCAGCACAACAGAATGTCATTCAGCCATAAAAGTAAAACAGTTATTTTGGGGGGGCACAGGAAGGTTATTAAGAACTTTGTTTTTAAGAGTCTAACTCTAGGTGGAGAGCTGTATAAAGCATATTTAAACCACCAATCTTGTGTCATGCCAAGATGTGGATCAAGCACCTTACTTTGGAGATGTTCCTGGTTGTATAAAACACTTGAATTAATGCTACATTAAGATAGATCAGAACGGAATATTTGTAAATGTTGAAGATTCAAATGCCTCAATATGAGTTCTTCACGCTTCAAGCTCAGCACTGTAAGGCTGTAGTTTTAATTACAAACTATACTGTTTTCTATAGAAACAAACCATGGCTACTCAAATCAAGATTTAATACAATCTGTGAACCCATCCAAAATCTTTTTGAGAACTGTGAGAATTAACTACAGGATAGATTGTGCAAGAGAGGTAGTAATGGTTGTTTACATTATCTGGAGTTGCTCCACTCATATTTCTGTGTGTTTTCTGTTTCAACATTTTCAAATATGTTCTGATTCGTAGTAAATGAAGTCATACATATTGTTCTCACTTTTCTATCATCCCTATACTTCCACTCTCCCAATAGTCATTACAAATTTAAATGGTATGTCCCATGTAGCAACTTTTTATTTATTGAATTCCATTTATAATCTGTTCCTTTTCTAATATGCTCAGAGCAGTTTTTAATGGCCCTCCATTCTGGCAGTTTTCAGGAATAGACCTGTTCAGGTATTCTATAAAATACCATGTACATTAATAATGCTGCATTTATAATAATTACATTTTATACAGAGCAGTGGTTGAAGGCAAATGATAAATAAAACACTCCCTGTAGCAACAAAAAAGCACAGCAACAGGAGACAATTGAAATCACCATTAAACTTGCAAAATAAAATAATCATACAGTATTTATTTTAACTGAATAACATGCTATTCTCCATGAGCTCCTGAGGATATTTTATAATGCATTTCTACAAGAATTCTAATTTAACAGTATTTTTCCTAGTAGAATCTCATCACAGTAAAGCCATGTTTAATTCTGCACATCTTATTAAATATTTTATCACTTGCCAGAATTGTAATGCAAGAGATGTGCATTCCAGCTAAAGCAGCAATGTAACCAGATCTTTCCCAGACTGGGGAAAAAGCTGCATTAATAATATACAAACTCCCAAGTTTGAAAAAGAAGCAATTCTTTCTTCCAATATTTTATAATAGTGAACAAAAACTGTATCCCAAGTCAGTAGAATATAATGCACAATTTTAAAAATTGCATAGCACTAGCCTCTTTTTGCAAGGCTATTTAATTTCCTGACAACTTACTGTAGGATGCTGGCAGCTCCTAATAAGACAAAGTTTCATGACTTGAAATCTACATGTAAATTCTAAAAGCAAAATCCATGTTCCATCCAATCCAGAGTAAACTTTCAGTTTATAAGAGGCAGGCAGTAAGTGCTCTGAAAATTACAAGTGATATTATCTGCTGTTGTAGTAATGGGTAGATTAACACGGTAGAACTAAAGTAATTAAAGTGGTCTGGGGAAGAAGAAGAGAAGTGAGAAAAAAACTCTGAAACATGCTGTGTCTGACAGGCTGTGAAGACCACAGAAGTGGAAAATGACAGGCAGATGGTATCTGCCTTGTGCGCTTGCTACATCCTCCCTAGGATATTAATGAATTAAGACGTACATTTATTCTCACATCACTGTATTTGCCTTAAACTATAGCAACAAAATAATATATTTTAAACTCAGCTTTTCCAGGATAATGAGAACTACTGCTGAATCTTTTAATGCTGATTATCAGTTAAACCATCAACCATAACTATTGTATTTTCCAATGTGATTATTATGAATGAAGCAGGAATGGGATGAGTGCATGTGTGTATGTTTTAACATGTTTTAATCAAGGGAAAGTGGTTCTCAGGTAGAGATGTGGGTGTTCTAGAAAATCTGAATGATGTA